TAAGAAAGTTATTAAAATTTTCGGCCAGTTCTTCGCAATTCCGAACATCATCAGAAAATAGCTGAGAATACCAAGAATTTTTTGACGAGAGACCACCAATGGCTTTCACTTCTTTCCACCATCTTGCCTGATTTACCCATATAAGATAACACTACCGTCACTACGTATACACAGATTAATAAAAATATTCTAAGTCTTAACTATTCTAAAAATTCAAGGAAAGGATGTTAATATAAAAGAGTTTTCCACCCTATTTGTATGAGTCATATAGGAATATTGAATGTTCTTTCATGTCTAAAATTGTAACTACTAAATTCATTTTCTGAAGTGTTTATCCTGAATAAAAATTTACTCTATTGCTTGAGTCAGACACGGCAAATTGAAGGGATATGTAGGAATAAATGAGTTCGAGTTATAGCCGAGTTCGAGTCGAAGTGGCGACTAACCACAAATGCGATTTTTGAAATATGTAATATTTGGGTCATTTGAAGAAGAAATGTAATGTATCTTTATAATAAAAAAAGTTCCATCTTGATCAACTTTTTTTCACTGTCAAAGTTTCCGGATATGATATCATAGTTTTCCACATCATATCCAGAAACTTTGACAGTGAAAAAGTTGATCAAGATAAGGTTTCTTACTATAAAGATATATTACATTTCTTCTCGGAATGACCCAAGTATTATTACACATATACCAAAAATAAAATATTTAGGGTTAGTCGCACTTAAAGCTTAGCCTGCCCAGCTAATTGAGCAAGAAAAAACTGTACAAGAAAGTGACTGATAATTCTATAATGCTGTCCTAATTTATCTCCTCAGACTTTGTAAAAATATTTCTGCATTATTGCCATTAACCGTCTGTTTACCAGATCTCTTCGCTTTTTTTCGTCGTTGCGGAAGCTGAGACTATCAGTAGTTTGTGCCACTCTCCTCCGCAGAGGCTTTGTGTTTTGGTTTTGTTGGAAGTTTGCAGGCGGGATAGTCGCGGGCAAGGCGCCTCTCCCCTTTCATCCCTATTTTATCCAAGCCCGCGACTATCCCGCCTGCAAACTTCGAACAAAATCAAAACAAACCACAAAGCCTCTGCGGAGGAGAGTGAGTTTGTGCCAAACCATTTATTGATGACGTCTTTTCGAAGGTGGATCTCTAGACCTTTGACTAGATGTTGACGATCTTCCTCAATCTTTAAAGGGGAGCCTCACCCTTGCATTGAGCAAACTATGCTTATGTCTCATGAAATCGATAATCCTCTAAAATCCCACTTCAAATAGCCCCCTCTCTGGTACGCCATCCCCAATGGACCATTTGCATTATAGACTAAATTTTGATTTAAACAAGTCTAAATGTCATCACAGCTTGAAAGAGCATCACAAAATTAGTAATATTCCAAAGTTTCGTTGGGAAATGTTGTAAAATGCGGATAATATAGCCTTGCGAAGTTTGGAATTTTCAGTCATTTTGTATTACAAACGCGAAATTGACAGCCCCAAAGGGTATTGAGCGTTAATTTCCCCCGCGTAATGCAAAATGACTGAAAAACGCCAAACTTCGCAAGGCTATATTATCCGCATTTTACAACATTTCGCAACGAAACTTTGGAATATTACTCATTTGTCTAGACTTGTCTAGATCAAAATTTAGTCTGTAATGCGAATGGTCCATTAGCGGGAAATAAGCTACCATCACAGGCTATAGACCCATTGCACATGACGTCACAGCGCCGGTGACGATGCATCTGGAGGACACATTAGCAATCTATGCATAATATAACTTTTGTAAACAAAGCAAATTTTGTAAAACTTTATAATAATTTTGTATTAAAATGGTAAATTGTTGCGCTGTATGTGGTTGTTGTACCCGAACAGATATTGTTAGGGAGCATCTGGAGGACACTCTAAGGATTTGTGACGTCAGTGCAATGGGTCTATAGGACAAGCGAGATTTCTCTCATTCGCCTATCAAAATTTAAACATCCACGATACCGGTTATTAAGCGGACTGTGGACACGTTAGTGAGATCCTGAAGGTTTGACAAATTTAAAAATTCCCTTTCAGTTTCATGGTCGATTTTATTTACTTTCAAAACTGACTGAAAACCGGCGTCGCGTTTCCGAATCGCGTGCGGTGTTCAGGGAACGTGCGGTGAAATATTCATATTAAGAGGCAATTTTTTTCATTGTCACGTATTTGCCGTGAAAAGTGTTCAAAACCTAAAATCTTTTTGGCGTTCCTTTCAAAATTACTTTGTTTTACCTTTATTCTCTAGTTTATACAGTTAGCAACCTTTTTAAATGCATCTGCCGGTTGAGAAACATAAAATAATAGTCAAATTGTCAGTTAAAATATAATTATAAATGATGCTTTAAAATGGACGCCATATTTACAGCCATATAAGCCAAACTTACTGAACTTCAGACATCATTTTCTCTTTGGCGTACCATCTAAAATCTCTTCATTTTAGCATTATTTTACAGATAAAGCATTAAACAAACTTTGTAAGTTTGCTTGCCGATTGAGAAACGTGTCGAAAAATAAAAATTTTGAATTTAGTCCTAACCTCAAGTGATATATTATACGCATTTTTTTTTTGAGCGCGTGTTACGTAACATACAAAAAAATTTCCGCTTAATTAATCATATGTCAAAATAAAGTAGTCCTAAGCTGTCGGGAAATCTGACACTAAACAATTCATATTAAAAATCCTCTGCTTTTAAGCTGGTAACGAGGAAGTTTTTGTCACTCCAAGCTTGAAATCGTCCAGTTGTGTTTGTAACTAAGGAACTATTCAGATTTTAAACGCACCGAGATGTCTAGTGTATCTGTTATTTTGCTTTTTACGTGGAACGTGATATTTATGTGCGAAATTGGTCTGCCTTTAGCTGAAGGTACGTGCAGTTCCAATTCTGATTGTCGTGGCAACTTTTTTCGCAATGTTTGTTGTGGCAGAAGCTGATATGCGTATGGCAGTCGTTGCGCAACCGATTCCTGTGTCGGAGACTCCTGCTCTACAGACGGGGATTGTGGTGGAAAAGGTGAATGCTGTTTTTCGAACAAATGTACGACGTACGGTTGCCCAGAATGTGGTTCAAATTCACACTGTTCTTCCTCGGAGTACTGTTGTAAACATCGATACCACAACGATCACAACGTCTGTAGACGCAGCTGTGTCGGGGAGACATGCCACTCGAGTTCTGATTGCGGAGGTCCGTCGGAATACTGTAGTACTAGGAGTAAAATATGCTGGAAAGCAGGGCGTTCCTGTTCGACCGACAGTGATTGTCGAGGAGATGGCGAATGTTGTAAATATTCCAAATGCGTTACAGTTGGTTGCCCGGAATGTACCTCGAATTCTGGCTGCTATTCGTCGAGGTATTGCTGTTAGCGAGATACTCTCGCTAGTGTGTGTCGCATAGATTGCATCGGGGAGATATGCTCCGATGACGATGATTGTGGAGGACCTGGCGAGTTCTGTAATTCCAATACTACAAAATGTGAGAAATCTGAGACCACTGTGGCCGGCTGGGTTGTACCAGTGGTCGTCGTAGGCGTAGTACTGTTCGTCGTCGTTGTCGGCGCTGTTTGGGCGTACCGTTCATGTTATGGCTCGTCCCGACGCGGAGTGGTGGTGCGAGAACAGCCTGCACAGAGAACCACCGCGATCATCCTGCGTGAAACCGAAACTATTCAAACCACCCATCCAGCACCTGTTTATAATCCTCCCCCTCCTCCTTATTACAACCAGGGTCAAGATTTCCCACCTCCTAAAACTCACCAGTTGCCCCCACAATCCCAACATGGGATGCCACAACCCCAACATGGGTACCCAGCCCCACAACCCCACCACTTTCCTCAACCCCAGCCCCTCCATTTCGCTTCGCATTAAACGATGATGTGTGTGAAACAACTACCTTGCTTAGTTCTATAAAATCCTTGATGATTTTTAATATAGGGTCTTACCATTTTGCACATAACCCTTGAGACCATTCCAGCCAATAATGCAAGAATCAGTGCATTGATAAAACAAACTTCGTCACCCCCTCTCCCCCAGTTCAATGTTGTAAAGACTGGTTTACACTATCAAAGTTTCTGTGATCACAGAATGAATTTTGTGTAGGTAAATCATAGATATCTTATATACACTAGATAGCGCATCTAATTATTCTGCACTTCAAAAATTGAAGCCGTGATTGCAGTCTGAGGTCGTTCCCATGAAATGAGAAGATTCGTATGTTTTCTATTTCTTAAACAGGGAACTTAAACATTAAGTTAACCCTATTCCAAATACGTTTTTAAACTATTCAAATGATGAAAGTTATTGTTGTTTTTAAGCGTTTATTAGCAAGTGGGAACGACCAACATGGCCGCCACCTATTCAAATGGGGGTAACCGCTGGAATATTCTTGGCTTCAATTTTACTAAAAGAGATGCGCTATCCACTGTATATAAGATATCTATGAGGTAAATAAAGTTTTGAAAGATTTGCAAGAAATGTTCGAAGGAACTAAGTTAGTGTTTGATATTGAATCAGTTCCATCCTTCGAAACTTAGAATTTACCTATGCAAAATTAATTCCTACTGTGATCACAGAAACGTTGACAGTGTAAATTATAGCACAGCGCCGAAGCAACTTTTGGCAATTTACCAGCCTCGTACCCAGGCGCAAATAACGTACTAAAAATGGCAACACTACAGTGTTTTTATATAGATTATATGTTTTTAGATGAGCGAGCGCGCGGGGGTGCTTGGGAGGAAACGACGATATTAGCCATTGATCTATATGAAAACACTGTAGTGTTGCCATTTTTAGTACGTTGCGCCTGGGTACGAGGCTGGTAAGTTACCATGACACAAGTTCAACATTGAGTTCGGGGAACAGGGGCTTAATTAATTAAGAAGCGCAATATCATTTAACATGGAATTGCCATAAAGGGTGTGAGAATTTTGTATAGAGCGAAAGGTGGTCTCAGCCAGTTATGTCCAAGATTGTATAGCTCTATGTTCTAGATACTGTGCATGGTTTAGTGGATTTAGGTTGTCATAGATCATATATTTTTATAGTTGTCATATATCATATAGAGTGAATGGTTGATCTCGACCAGTTATGTCCAAGATTGTATAGCTCTGTGTTCTAGATACTGTGCATGGTTTAGTGGATTTTAGTTGTCATAGATCATATACTAAAGTTGTCATAGATCATATATTTACAGTTGTCATATATCATATACTTCATATAATCCAAGGAAAATAATATAGAACAGTTTTTCTGTTTAAAGTTGTCAATGAAGTTTACTTTTTTGCTATACTTTGAACCATGCAGTCAAATTACAATACAGCTTCTGTTTTTTTCAAAATTATTAGATTTCCATCATTTTCTATAACAAACCGGCGGGTGTTACGAGGTTTACTGTCGGCTACTTTCTTTTAACTATATACTGTGCACCATAGCCTATCGAAGGGAAGATGGCTGTGAAACTCATTAGAATAACAATATAACTCATTATCTATGTTAGTCAACGTTTATTCATAAATCTGGTCGTTTCACCGTCACGTGTGTATTGTATTTTTACCAAATCCACCAATAGCAATTTCCAGTTTCCCTAACGTTCGAGTCACGGATTGGTGACTTTCCTAAAACATTGCTATTGGTTAGTTGGGCAAGAATACAATGCACACGTGACGGTGAAGGACCAGATTTATGAATAAACGTTGACCAACATAGATAATGGGTTATATTGTTATTCTAATAAGTTTCACAGCCTTTGATTGAAGCACCTCTCTTCGCTTTTTCTCGTCTTTGTGGAAATTGAGATTATCAGTAGTTTGTACCCTGAAACATTTGTTAATGACATCTTTTCGAAGGTGGATCTCCAGACCTTTGACAAGATTTTGACCATCTTCCTCGATCTTTAAGGGGGAAAGAGAGGAAAAAAGGTTTTTAAGCAAAGGCTGTTCAAAGACAACGGTCGATTAGCGTTAATCATGGCTTGATACAACTCGCTGTTTTGGTCTGTGCATATAGATATGTGTAATGCATGTGCAGTGTTTGCCTGTGTATTTCAAAACTTTGGAAAATGATAGCAATGCTGAGGTAAACAAGCAATCAATCAGGAGTCGGGGTTTTACCGAATTAGGCTTTCTCAAGCCACCATTTTTGGGTGGCAACTTTTGTAGAACAGGGATAGTAAGCAGTGAAAATGAAACTTTCTATAACTATAGTTGTAAGTATTACCTATTACCTTATAATATCATGATTGCGGGTATTCCCGTTGTTCTCGCAGGGCCATTAAAAACCAATTAACAATAAATAATGGTATAAATTAAATGGTATAATTGTTTTCCATGTCTTTGTTTAGTTTTGGCGATTTCAGGTATCTTCATTTATATTCATTTTTTCTAATCGTACCCGCTTTGACGTCGTTTCGGGTAGGATTAGAACTAATTCAACCTGACATGACGTAAAAGCGGGTAGGATTAGAAAATATGAATATAATGAGGTGTATTAGTTTTTAATTGCCCTGCGAGAACAAAGGGAATACCCGCAATCATGATATTATCATTATAAATCGGAGTGTACAGTTAAATATTATTTTCAAATCCCTGAGATTTTTCACGTTGTTTATAAAATACTGTATAGTACCCAAAAATGGTGGATTTAGACCTTCGTGATAAAGGCTAATTGAAGAGATAGCTATGTCCACGTTTGCTGAAAACTGCAAAACGGTACACACGAAAAATCTCACAACTTGACAGCATGATGTATTCGCGCCTTATATATAGGATCTACTTACCTAAATCTTCCTACGTTGTCTTGATATTCCACCAGTGAAGATTCGCCATCCAAGAGAGTGTAGTAACAACGAGCAAAACTTTGATGTAAAGCCGTGCTCGCATTTATTTAAGTTGTGATATATTAATATGAAAGAAAATATTATTAATATCACCAATATTATTAATTCCAAACTCATTAATAGCTATTTGTGGTGTTACTCTGAGTTTTATATCCACACCAGGCGAGCTTGAAAAATATGCCCGGCCACGGTGGGATTCGAACCTACGACCTTTGGAATACTAGCCCAATGCTCTTCCAATTGAGCTACGCGGTCAGGACGATTCGAGTAAGTGATATTTCGGAACAGAATCTAGTTCCTTCGATACCAATGTATTCTAGTAATATGAATTTTTTTTCTGTGTTGGTGTAGTGTACTCAGGTGAATATGATATTTGTGGTGTTACTCTGAGTGTATATCCACACCGGGCGAGCTTGAAAAATATGCCCGGCCACGGTGGGATTCGAACCTACGACCTTTGGAATACTAGCCCAATGCTCTTCCAATTGAGCTACGCGGTCAGGACGATTCGAGTAAGTGATATTTCGGAACAGAATCTAGTTCCTTCGATACCAATGTATTCTAGTAATATGATTTTTTTCTGTGTTGGTGTAGTGCACTCAGGTGAATATGATATTTGTGGTGTTACTCTGAGTTTTATATCCACACCGGGCGAGCTTGAAAAATATGCCCGGCCACGGTGGGATTCGAACCTACGACCTTTGGAATACTAGCCCAATGCTCTTCCAATTGAGCTACGCGATCAGGACTCCCACCGTGGCCGGGCATATTTTTCAAGCTCGCCCGGTGTGGATATAAAACTCAGAGTAACACCACAAATATCATATTCACCTGAGTGCACTACACCAACACAGAAAAAATTCATTAATAGCTTACAAAAAAAATCTTGTATTTGCGGTAATACACTTCTTCTTCTAGTTGATCAAGATGAGGTTTCTTACTATAAAGATATGTTACATTTCTTCTCGGAATGACCTAAGTATTCACATACCAAAAATTATATTTGAGGTTAGTCGCACTTTAAGCTTAGCCTGTCCAGCTAATTGAGCAAGAAAAAACTGCACAAAAAAGTGATAATAATTCTATAATGCTGTCCTGAATTATCTCCTTAGTAAAACTATTTCTGCATTAACCGTCTGTTTCCCACCACAGCCGCTGAAAGTCCTCAGTATTTATAGCCTACTGCAACCATTTTAATTAAACGGCACTGTTGTTTGGTTGAAGCACCAGATCTCTTCGCTTTTTTTCGTCGTTGCGGAAGCTGAGACTATCAGTAGTTTGTGCCAAACCATTTATTGATGACGTCTTTTCGAAGGTGGATCTCTTAGACCTTTGACTAGATGTTGACGATCTTCTTCGATCTTTAAAGGGGAAACCGATAATCCTCTAAAATCCCACTTCAAATATATAGTCCCCTCTCTGGTAAGTGGTAAGTTATCCCCAATTAGCGGGAAACTAAGCTGCCATTACAGGCTATAGGACAAGTGAGATTTGTCGCATTCGGCTATCAAAATTTAAACATCCACTAGCCTATACGGTTATTATTAAGCGGACTGTGGACACGTTTTAGTGAGATCCTGAAGGTGTCCGCTTTAAAAGGGATTGGACTGTATATAACTTTGAAAAATCGTGTGCGGTGTGTTTGGATTTTAAGCCATCATCAGGGAACGTGCGGTGCAATATTATTCATATGTCAAAATAAAGTTGTCCTAAGCTATCGAGAAATCTGACACTAAACAATTGTCTAAACAATTCATATTAAAAATCCTCGGCTTTTAAGCTGGTAACGAAGAAGTTTTTTGTCACTCCAAGCTTGAAATCTTCCAGCTGTGTTTGTAACAGGAACAGAATAGATTCTAAACGCACAAGATGTCTAGCGTATCTGTTATTTTGCTTCTTACATGGAACGTGATATTTATGTGCGAAATTGGTCTGCCTTTAGCTAAAGACATTACATGCAGTTCCAATTATGATTGTCGTGGACCCGGCAACGTTTTCGACAGATATGTTTGTTGCCGCAGAAGCGTCCGGTATGGCAGAAGTTGCGAAAACCGTTCCTGTGTCGGATACTTTTGTTCAACAGACGGGGATTGTGGTGGAAAATATGAATGCTGTATTTCGAACAAATGTACGACGTACGGTTGCTCAGAATGCAGTTCAAATTCACACTGTTCTTCCTCGGAGTACTGTTGTAAACATCGATACCGCAACGTCTGCAGACGCAACTGTATCGGGAGGACATGCAACTCGAGTTCTGACTGCGGAGGTCCGTCGGAATACTGTACTAAGAGTAAAATATGCTGGGAACCAGGGCGTTCCTCCTGTTCGACTGACCGTGATTGTCTAGGAGATGGCGAATGTTGTAAATTTTCCAAATGCGCTACAGTTGGTTGCCCGGTATGTACTTGGAAAGAAGACTGCGATTCCTCGATGTATTGCTGTAAGGGGGTACTCTCGCTAGTGCGTGCCGCATAGATTGCATCGGGGAGACGTGCTCAGATGACGATGAGTGTGGAAGTCCGCCGGAATACTGTACTAGTAGTGGAATATGCTGGAAAGCAGGGCGTTCCTGTTCAACCGACAGTGATTGTCGCGGAGATGCCGAATGTTGTAAATCTTCCAAATGCGTTAATAGTTATAAGTATACATTTCGTTGCCCGGTAAGCCCGGTATGTACTTCGAATTCTGACTGCTATTCGTCGAGGTATTGCTGTAAGCGAGGTACTCTCGCTAATGTGTGTCGCAAAGATTGTGTCGGGGAAACATGCTCCGATGACGACGATTGTGGAGGGCCCAAAGAGTCGTGTAATTCCAATACTACAAAATGTGAGAAATCTGAGACCACTGTGCCTGTGGCTGGCTCCGCTGGCTGGGTTGTACCGGTGATCGTCGTAGGTGTAGTACTGTTCGTCGTCGTTGTTGTCGGCGCTGTTTTGGCGTACCGTTCATGTCGTGGCTCGTCCCGACGCGGAGTGGTGGTGCGAGAACAGCCTGCACAGAGAACCACTGCGATCATAGCCCTGCGTGAGACCGAAACTATTCAAACCGCCCATCCAGCACCAGTTTATAATCCTTCCCCTAATCCTAGTTATTACAACCAGGGTCAAGATTTCCCACCTCAAAACCACCAGTTGCCCCCACAACCCAAGAATGGGATGCCACAATCCCAACATGGGTACCCACCCCCACAACCCCACCAGTTTCCCCAGCCCCTCCATTTCGCTTCGCATTGAACGATGTGTGTGAAACAACTAGCAAACAAAAATTATCATTGTTCGTGACTCGTTCTTTAGAAAGACGATTTCTATATGGTTTTATTGTCTTTCATTGTTATAATCAACCAACCACGAGCCTGGATAGTATAGGTAGATGATGACCCCGCCGAAGTAACTTTTGATAATTTACCATGACACAAGTTCAACATTGAGTTCGGGGAACGGGGGCTTAATTAAGAAGAGCAATATCATTTAACATGGAATTGCCATAAAGGGTGTGAGAATTTCGTACAGGGGGAAAGGTGGTCTCAACCAATTATGTCCAAGATTGTATAGCTCTGTTTTCTAGATACTGTGCATGGACATGGTTTAGTGGATTTTAGTTGTTGTAGATCATATATTTATAGTTGTCGTAAATCATATATTTATAGTTGTCGTAGATCATATATTTATATAGTTGTCATAGATCATATATTTATAGTTGTCATAGATCACATATTCATAGTTGTCATAGATCATATATAGTTCGTATAATCGTATATATATAGTTCGTATAATCCAAGGAAAATAATATAGAACAGTTTTTCTGTTTAAAGTTGTCAATAAAGTTTACTTTTTGGCTATTAGTTTGAAACATGCAAAATTATTAGATTTCCATAATTTTCAAAAACAAACCGGCGGAGGTTTACTGCCGGCTACTTTCTTTTAAGTTTTTAACTATATGTCTATATATATACTGTACACCCATGCATATCGCTTTTTTTGCGCTTTATGTCTATAAAGTACACTTCAAAAACTCATTAATAATTCAGGAGCAAAACACAAAGAAAAATCATAAGCGTGTCGTGGTTTTATATGTGATAAAAAATCACGTTAATTTACATAAACTTTAGCTTTGATTTTCTCGGTTTAGACAAAGTTTATTTTAAAAATTACTTCGCCAATGAACTCGTATAAGATGAGTCGTTTTTTAAGCCATTAAAAGCACTTGTAGTCGTGTTTTATCACATATAAAACACTCCGCTACGCGTCGTGTTTTATATGTGATAAAACACTCCTACGCGTGCTTTAAATAGTACTTGCATGTTTTCGGCATACCTTGCACCAACGATTTTGTAGCATTTAGCTACATAAAAATGCAGTATGCTTATGGGCGGTACCTCAGCTGTATCCTAAAAAAGTCAGACTTGTAAGTTGAACTATTGTCTAAGAACCAAGAACTAGTTACAACTACCAATACCATGAAGGAGAAATGTTTATTGGAAATTTCTCTGCTCATTCTAATTATCTTACTGATGCTTTCTTAATAACAGATGTGCCTTTGGCAAAAACTTGAAGTTTTCTGCAAGTAAGCTTAGCCTGCTCAGCTAATTGAGCAAGAAAAAACTGTACAAAAAAATGACAATTCTAATACTGTCAGGACAACCGTCTGTTTCGCACTTCAGCCGCTGAAACTGAAAGCCCTGGTGTTTATAGCGTACTGCAGCCATTTTAAACGCCACTGTTCTTAGATTGAAGCACCTCTTCGCTTTTTCTCGTCGTTGTGGAAGTTTAGACTATCAGTAGCTTGTACCAAACCATTTATTGATGACATCTTTTCGAAGGTGGATCTCTAGACCTTTGACTAGATTTTGACCATCTTCCTCGATCTTTAAAGGGGAAAGAGAAGAAAAAAGGTTTTTAAGCAAAGGCTGTTCAAAGACAAAGGTCGATTAGCGTTAATCTTGGCTTGATATAACTCGCTGTTTTGGGTTGTGCATATAGATATGTGTAACGCATGGGCTGTGTATTTCAAAACTTTAGAAAATGGTAGCAATGCTGAGGTAAACAAGCAATCAATCTGGAGTCGGGGTTTTGCTGAATTAGCCTTTGTCACGCCGCTATTTTTGGGTGGAAACCTTTTTAGAACAGGGATAGTAAGCAGTGAAAATGAAACTTTCTATAACTATAGTTCTAAGTATAATCATTATAAATCGATTTACAGTTAAATATCACATCGCTGAGAAATCTCACATCGCTGAGATTTTTCACGTTGTTTATAAAATAGTACCGAAACATGGCGGATTTATAGACCCTCGTGAGAAAGGCTAAAACTGCAACAAAAGGGTACACACGAAAAATCTCACAACTTGTCAACATGACGTGTTCGCGCCTTAGGATATACTCACCCAGACTAGGTGTATCCTCAATCTTCCTACGTTGTCCTGATATTCCACCAGTGAAGATTCGCCATCCGAGAGAGTGTAGTCAACTAAACAACGAACAAAACTTTGACTCGAAAGCCGTGCTCGCATTTCTTTAAATTGTGATATAATATGAAAGAAAATAACGTATTCGTATGCAAATAGATTTCAGATTACTAATATTATTTCCAAACTCATTAACAGCCTTTAGAAAAAAATCTCATACTTGCGGTAATGAAATCATGAGGGGCTAAGAGGTGCATCTAGCCTCACCTGCAGGAAGGAGGTGCAGACTATCTATGGGGTGGTGCATGGGGAAGCCGTGCCCACTCCCCTCTGCAGTCTGCAACGCTACTATCCCAACATTACCATTATTTGAGGTAGCTGAATCTGCATGTTCGCCGTTCTGTTACACTTTACATTATATTTTGTTTATCATAAAGTTTATATGGGCTTTTTATGATTTTATCACGTATGCGTGACTGGACAGTCGCTGTAGCTGTATAAAAGTAAATTTGCTTGTTAAAGTAAAGTATATTTCAAAATATGGCTGTATAGCAACCTCGACATGTTTACATATTTAACCATGATATTGAACTAAAGCATTCTGAGTATATGCACAATTCAATTACATCGTTTCAAGAAATCGATACGCGCTAACAGTAGACGTTCCGCTAATCGCTATTCGCCAGAAAATGTATGGTCAAACAGATTTTTTTAGGGTGGTGCTGGACTTCTCTGGGGGAGGGGGGGTACTATACACCACTAGATCCACCCCTCTGTGGGACTGGGAAGGTGAGGAGTGCGTAACCTGGTAACCACTCCACTCTCCCCCAGCATACCACGTTCGCTTCGGTGAAAAGGCATACCTTCATTCCTGGCGACTTTCACAACTTTGACAGCAGAGCTAAATAAAAGGTATAACAACAAACAATGAAATTTTTACCCAATGTCATTTTGACACATGAAACGCTATCTGATGATGTAATTCGTATGACTGTCCGCGCCTTTAAGCTCTGCAATTGGCGTTCGAGGTCGATTGTCTGATTAAAATTTCGCCTTGGTCCAGCATGTGAAAAGAGTTGTCCGAGTCATCTAGTAACGTTCTGGGACGGGTTGTACAAAGCACGATTAGCACTAACCCTGGTTTTTTTATGTATTTAATTCTGCACGTATGTCTATTTCAAAACTTCAGAGAAGAAAACTCCTGCTGGTTCAGACAAGATCTCTAAAGAAATATTTCCAAATTTAGAAAGAAGCTGTTGGAAAGTTTGCTTTGAATTTCACGTTAACCTAGGGTTAGGCTAACCCAGCTTTGAACAACTGGCCTTGGTTTTTCACTAGTCGGAGCGGAAATTTTTCTTCGTCTTCTCTAAATGGTTACACCGGAGAAATCACAAGACAAAGACAAGACATCTATACCTGATACACCACATTGGTGTTTTATGTTCGTCCAGCAAGGTCAGATCCACAACAGCGATATCCTGTAACCAAATGACAATATTTTTACAGAATAGTATTCTACTTTTCTTTTTCGCTAAAATATCCACTACGAGCAAAAATCCTCACTATACTGAGGTGCATGGCCGAATCGGAAAATAATAATAATCTATTTATACGTGTATACATACATACAAAACTTTATTAAACCACGCTAGCCTCAACCGTTGGGAAGCTGATTTCCATGAGGGGCGTGAAATATAAAATTAACTATTTACAAGAAAGGTGATTAACAAGCAAGTTTAAACTCATTCTTTGTTTTAACATCGATTTGAAAGAGCTTAAGGATTCTGCAATTTTTGCCTCATGTGGAAGATTATTCCAATGCAAGGCACCGTTATAACTGAAGCACCTCTTGCCGAATTTTAAAATTATAAGGAGTAAAATTGTAACAGTGATGCAGTTGCATCGTATAGTATAAGGATTATATGAACCTATTTTACAAGTATACAAGACTTACTAACTTTTAAAATATTTTTAAACACTGCTGTCTTCCATGGTAGCGATGTTTTTACATTAAACATTCCTTCTTGTTCTTCACGACTTTCTAACACAAGACAATCTTCGCTGAATGACCCTAACACGAAAAAAGTTTTAAACGATGTATTCGAATTTTGTTGAACCTACAAACGTATATACCGGGTGGCCCAAAAAAAAGTACTCCTGTTTGATTCGTAATAACTTCTAAACAAGTAAAGTTTTTAAAGAGAAATAACTTGCATTAAATAGAGGAAGGACTAACTTAGATTTTGATATATTACAGTTGTATTTAACTTAAAAATTCACGGATATATTAATGTTAAAAATGGGGAGCATATTTTGGAATGTGTCTAAAATTGGCGAAAATCGGCATATCAAATATTAACTCCAGCGTTTGTTTGCTTAATGACATATTAGGCTAACTTGTATTTCAGCGAATTATCGTTAAGGTTTGTAAGGGATATGTCGTAGATTTAGACATCTTACATGTAAGTCTTAGCTCATTGTTTCCTGAAATATGAACGTTCGAAATTATGCAAGTATTTAATATTAGGTCTTTGCAAACTTAAAGGTACTGAAAGACTGACCATGGAAGGCAGGCGCTTAAATTTTTCGTATTCTTAAATAGCCTAATTTTTTTATGTTTTTAATGGGTTCAAACAGACTGAGTAGATTATTTCTCGGTTAGAGCAGGATGAATATTCTTTATTGAAGGAAATAATATTGCTTTTTGCAAATGCACATCACCGTATCAACGCTACTATTTTGTTACGTTTTGTTCCAAAAATGTTGCATGTCTCTGGGGAGTTGCTTAATTGTTATGTCTTATGGAGTTGTATGGTTTGATTGTGTTTCATATAATTCTCAGTTTACTCCATGAACTTGCCAAGATTAAGAAACGGCAAAAGAGTTTGGGTGTTCTTAACAAGATTTCAGAACGTTGCAGAAGTTAGAAGAGCTTCACAATTCCGTTGTGACAGCATGCCCTAATTCAGAACTACGAGCGATCCAATGACGATCCTTCGCGATGCAGTGGTCTCATGAAATAAGGAAACGTATTCGTGCTAGGAACACACGCGAATTTCGGACGAATGAATCTTGCTTGTATTTTGTAGATATAATAATACTTTGTTTCATAATAAACAATTTGTCAAGTGTCATTTATTTACTGGTAATAGTGCATGTTTCAGTCGGGCAAATCTTGATTAATATTTGATACGCCGATTTTTGCATATTTCAGACACATCCAGAAATATCCTCCCGAATTTAAAGATTAATATCTCCGTGAATTTTTAAGTGAAATACAACTGTAATATATCAAAGTCCAAGTTAGTCCTTCCTCTATGTGATGCAAGTTATTTCTCTTTAAAAGCTATACTTGTTTAGATGTTATTACGAATCAAACAGGAGTACTTTTTTTTGGGCCACCCGGTAGTCTATTTGTGTGTGTTGATGTTATGTACTCAGGTGAATATGATGTTTGTGATGTTACTCTGAGTGCGCATCCACGGGCAAGCTGAAAAGTTAATTGCTTGGCCACGGTGGGAATCGAACCCGCGACCTTTGGGATACACTGTATCATATCATATCTTAGAATACACTGATATCGAAGGAACTAGACTCAGTTCCGAAATATCATCAACTCGAACCGACTTGACCGCGTAGCTCAGTTGGCAGAGCATTGGAGTAGTATCCCAAAGGTCGCGGGTTCGATTCCCACCGTGGCCAGGCAATTAACTTTTCAGCTTGCCCGGTGTGGATGCACACTCAGAGTAACATCACAAACATATATAGTCTAGTTTACACTGTCAAAGTTTCTGTGATCATGCACAGTAGAAATTTTGCATGGGTGAATTCTAAGTTTTGAAGGATGTTTAACACCAAGTCAGTTTCCTCAAACATTTCAAACAAATCCTTCAAAACTTAGATTTTACCCATGCAAAATTTCTAATGTGATCACAGAAACTTTGATAGTATAAACCAGGCTTATCGATACAAACATATCGGTGGTCGAACTGATCGACTCACCGAACTAAACAACTGAGTCTGTTCTTCCTTAAGATCCATTTACACTTGCAATTTCTGCTGCGATTTTCTTCTTCTGATGTATGTGAACGAGTGGATAAGTTATGAATGTTCAGATGAAGGTACATCAGTGAGATATATACTCAGAACATTCATTATTGATCTACTCGTTCACATGCATCAGAAGAAGAATCTCGCGCTAGAAATCGCAGCAAAAATCGCAAGTGTAAACGGGCCTTTACTTTGGTAAAGTTCTCTGTAATGATTTCCCCAAAACAATTTCCGTTGATTACGTAATTCAACCGTAGCAGAGTATCGTTGAAGACCTGCAAAGATAAGAGGCGTATTTAGCCCAGTGTATGTACGACCTTTAGAGCTATTGGACGTCAATGGCCGCAATTTTGGCTTCACTTTTCTCATAGGCGGAATGACTGTTCTTGCTCCAGATTTATAGAGAGCTCACTGGTTTAGCCTTTCTCACGCCATGCAACCAGACCTTGTGCGCCATGCACACCGTAATCGCAAACTCATTAATCAGGATTCGTACAAAACTTGAAATTCCTGGAAAGTCCTTGAATTTGGAAACAAAAATTCAAGGCCTTCAAAGTCCTTGAGTTTATAAAAAAGTGCTTGAAAGTCTTCACAAGGCAAAGGAAGCTGCGCCGTTTGAACAGTTTAACATCACTTTTAACTGATTTCTAAGAACGCTTTCTTTTCGTCCTTTATAGTCCTTGAATTTCCTGATACATGGTCTTTGAAAGTCCTTGATTTAACTCTTCCTGACTTGTGTATACAAACCCTGAATATTACTTTATTTTGCGCACACGATAATACTGGATACCTGGTAAAGTATATTGATCCAGTCCTAGGACTGGATCGAAATTAATTCAGTCCTTGGACTGGATCAAAATTTATTCACCTCACTTTAAGTATAGTGATTTATTCGTATGAGGAACTGGACTGGATTTCAAGTCCTTGCAATATGCTCGCATTTTGACCCAGCTGGATCAAATTGCGCGGACTAATCCTCATAGTCGGATATTAGTTATTACATAACATCCCTGTCTATTTGCTAAGTAAACCTAGTAAAATCTGTAGCGTTCCAACAATAGATGATTCCAACGTACCATAATGAGGGTCAATATCATCTGTCGTTGGCTGATGAGGTGGTGGTCTGTGAACACTGAAAGGGAATCATATTTTTAGACATTGGTTATATTCCCAAACCGCGGACCATGTGTCTTGCTTACTGTAACTTCGTGTCAAAATATTCAGGAAAACTCCCTCGCGGTCATGATTTCCTTAGT